CCTTGCCTTGATTACTAAATTTTGAGTTTGGATGTTTCAGGGTGTAGAGAAAGGGTGCTCCTATGACAAAACAGTATCTATGATTCTCTCCACTTAAGACCTATTTATTCTTCCAGACCTTTGCTCAGGGGAATAAACACTGGGTGCTTGAATAATGTCCAGAGTTGGGTTTTACTTATTTTTCTGTTGATACTGATCAGTGGAATACATATATACTTGCTGCAGTCTCCCAGATCTAATAGTAATGAACATTTTACAAGCTCAAAACTACCTACAGAGATCAGAATCACACCTGAAACTCCTAAGGACAGCTTTACAGAAGGTATTACCTACACCTGTCACTAGATTTTCAGAGCATTCCACCATCTACCCTATAGACTTCAGAATTTAAAAAAAGCACTTCACAGTGCTCAGCAGAGTTAGTGATAAACAAATTATAACATGAACCAAATTCAAGAGTTATCAACAAGAAGCAGTTTCTCTGTGAAGTGGAGCCAAGAGAACTACAGAACAGCCCAGGTGGGAAGGAACCTTGGGCAATCATCTGGTCCAACCTTTCATGGGAAAGGGAGCCTAGATGAGATTATCTAGCATCCTGTCCCATCGCATCTTGAAAACCTCCAGCAACGGGGACGCCTCCATGTCCGACACCCTGTTCCAGTGTGAATGATTGTTTTCACTGTAGAAATGGTTCTTTCTTATATCAAGATGAAACCTCTCCCAGTGCAACTTGTGCCCATTGTCCCTTGCGAAGAGAGCACCTCCACCCTCTTTGTAGTCACCCATAATTACTGGAAAAGTATGATGAAGTCCCTCCTGAAACTTCGCTTCTACAGGCTAATAAGACCTTACTACTTCAGTCTTTGCTCATACAGCAGATTATCCAGTTCTCCAGCTCTTTAATCATCTTTGTGGCCCTCCTTTGGCCCCTCTCCAGTCTGTCCATGACTCTTTGAATTGTGGGCCCCAGAACTGGACGCAGTACTCTTCATGTGGCCTGAAAAGTGGGGTAGAGGAGGATGATCACATCTCTATCTCTGCTGGTAATGCCCCTGACGATGCAGCTCAGGATCTGATCTGCCTTGGTTGCTGAAGACCGGGATGCCTAGGTCCCTCCTGGCAAGGCTGCTCCCCAGCCACGCAGATCCGAACCTGCACTGGGCTCTTTGGTTACATCATCCCAGATGCAGGACTTTGCACTTGTCTTTGAATGTCAGTTCTTGCTAGGCCACTCTGCCAGCCTGGTCAGACCTCTGGATGGCTCTGCCTTTGGATGTGTCTACCTCACTACCCAGTTTGGTGTCACCAGCAAACTCGGTGAGGGTGCTTTCAGTCCCATCATCCAGCACATTTATGAAGATGTTGAACAACATGGGGCCCAGTATTGACCCCTAGGAGACGCCGCTTGTGACAGGCTGCCCGCCTGAGTGAAAACTATTGATTGCCACCCTCTGAGCGCGGCCCATGAGACAATTCCCTACCCATCTCGCAGACCACCCATCCAGTCTGTGTATCTCGACAGTTTGTCCAGGAGAAGGCTGTGTCAAATGCTTTGCTGAAGTCCAGCTAAAAAACATCCACTGCTCTCTCCGTGTCTTTTGTTGTAGAAGATGATCAGGTTAGCCTGGCACGATTTGCCTTTGGTAAATCTGTGATGGATTTCCCCGATCACCTGCTTCATTTGGTTTGTAATAGTTTCTAGGAAGACTTGTTCCATTGCTTTCCCAGGGACTGAAGTAAGGCTAATGGGCCTGTAGTTTCTTGGGTGCTCTTTTGAGCCATTCTTGTAGAAGGGTATGACACTTACCCTCTTCCAGTCACCAGGGATGCCCCCAATCTCCACAACTTTTCAAAGACAACAGGCAGTAGCCTTGCAACAATGTCAGCCACTTCTGTCAACACCCTGGGGTGGATTCCCTCAGGGTCCGTCGGTTTATGTGGGTTGAGCCCTTGCAGAGGGCCACTGCTGGTGGGTCGACACACATGTTGTTGTAGCTGCTTGATCCTGTGAGCTGGGGTGCAGTTGCCAGTTACGCTGGTAAAGACAGAAGGAAGGAGGTATCGAGAACCTCTGCCTTGTCAGCATTATTAGTAACTTGTTTCCCTGCCCTGTTTAGTAATGGGCCTGTGTCTTCCCTGTGCTCCTGCTTACTGGTCATGTATCTGCAGAACCCTTTCTTCTTCTTGAGGTCTCTGGCCAGTTTCAGTTCTAGCGGAGCTTTAACTTTCCTGTCTGCATCTCTGCATGCCCTAGCAATGTTCTTGTAGTCCTTCATGAGTATTTGGCAGTCTTTCCATAGCCAGTATGCTGCTTTTGCTTTTATCCACACCCAAAAGCTTATTGTTAAGCCTGAGTGGTCTCTTGTTCTGCCTTCTTCCTTTCCCTTTGTAGGTGATGGACTGTTCTTGTGCTTCCAGGAGGCTGTTCTTTAAAGACTTCCACCACTCATAAGCTCCTTTGCTCTCCATGAATGCTTCCCATGGAATCCCTCACATCTGGGCTCTGAGCATACTGAAGCTTGCTCTTCTAAAATCCAGGGCCTTTGTCCTGCTACTGGTCTTCAGTGTGCCAGCATGATCTTAAACTCCACAATGTTGTGATTGCTGTATCTAAGGCTATCATTGGTAGTTATGTTGTCAATTACATCTTTTAAGTTTGTGAGCAGTAAATCTAGCAATGCTGCCGTTCCTAGCTGGCATGTCCAGCACCTGTAGCAGAAAGCAGTCCTCATGCGTTCCAGGAATCTCATGGACAACTTGCACACCACTGTGTTGTTCTCCCAACAAATGTCAGTGTAATTGAAGTCACCCGTGAGGACCAGGTTCTGTTGGCCCAAGACTTCCTTGAGCAGCCAAAGTAAGGTTTCATCAGCCTCATCATTGTGATTTTAAGGTCAATAACAGCTACTTAGCATAGACGGTGAACCCCTAGATGATGAACCATCTCATCTTGATCCAAAGGCATTTGATAGAACTTTTGTGGTCTCCATAGCTTACCTCCATACATTCAAATTTCTCTTTTCTTATGAAGTGCAACTCCACCTCCTCTTTCTCCCTTCCTATCTTTCCAAAAGAGTTTATAGCCATCCATTGTGGTCTTCCAGTCATGTGAGTCTTCCCACCATGTTTTTGTGATTCTTATCATATCATAACTCTCAGACTGGGCATGGACCTCCAGTTCCTCCTCTTTGCCGCCCAGACTATGTGCATTGGCATACATGCACTTGAGGTGGTTGGACTTAGGGTTCTTGCCTTTGTAAAGGCTTGGGGAGCATTCTTCACTACTCTAGTAGGTGTGCACATCCACCCTGTTGACTATAAATATGTAGGTGTCACAACTCTGGACGCTACCCTCAAAGTTTGTTAGTTTAAAGCACAGTTCACTAAGTCAGTCAATCTGCTAGCAAAGTTAGGCTGCATGTGATTACTCATGTGTCCATTTCCCATAACATTTCAGGATTTGTCAGTCCCTCTTAACAGACTATTCATGTCAACATCATATCAGCAACAAGCCCAAGGAACACAAGTCCTGCAGGAACAGGCTGATTAAATGGGCTTACTTGAGGTCACAGTTAACTAAGTAAATTCTACATCTAATTGGCCAATGGTTCTTACTACTGTCTTGTTTCAGTGGAGTTAGGATAGACAAAAACTCCCCTAAGTGCGCTGGACTATTAAATTAGTAGCTATTAAGCGGGTACTCTACATACTCAAGCTTTGCTGCCTAAAAAGAAGAAAAAAAATCAGGTGTACAGCCTATAGAGAAACAGCATGGGGATCACACACAAACAAGTGACAAACATTTCATCTCAATGTAAGATCAGACACAAACATGTTTCATCTCAACACAAGAAATTTTTTTTCAGCACAATCAATCACTGGAACAACCTCTGCAGTGATGTGGTAGAGTACCCATCACTGGAGGTTTTCAAGATGCAATGGGACAGGGTGCTAGGCAATCTCATCTAGGCTCCCTTTCCCACAAACCTGGGCTTGCCTTCATTCCAACCTGGGCTGTTCTATGATTCTATGATATTCTGGATCTCTTAAGAAAAAAATCAGGGAACTCTAGAGATAAGAAAAATAAAGAATGCAGTGAACTTTAGATAAAAAGGAGACAATCATGCCTGTGTGAAACATTTATTAGAAACCTAATGAACAGACTTTCCTTTTTGACCCTTCCTCCCTAGTACAATTCTTGTCACAAAAGTCACAGACATTTATTTATGAAAGTAGAGAGAAAGTATTACTAGAATAACATCAGAATTGTTTAATTCATGCTTTAGGAAAACAAACGTTTGGAAAAAAAGCCAAGCATAACATAGATCCATTTCAAAACGGCCTGAAAGGATTGGATGCACAAAACTTCACTCAGTTGAGTGCCTACTGCCTTTATGTCTGTGGAATGTGAGCTGTAGGTACCAAGGGAATTTTTAAAACACAGGTGATATGAAGACAACCAAAGATATAGACTTGACCTTATCTTTCAGCAGTCAGATAAACTGCTCACTAGGAACCAAAACAGGAAAGGAAAGATACATTTTTAATCATATTCCAGCCACCACAACTGGACAACCCTTCTTAGCAGAAAGGGGAGCCATTAATGTACTGAGCTCTACTTCACTAGCTTCAAAATCACTGATGTAAACACCGAATTTTCCTTTCCAAGAAAATTTAATTTCTACATTGTGGAATATTCAGCATGAAGAGGAAAGATTTTTCTTTTTTTTTTTCCTTCAATGGAAAACAAAGAATAGTGAAAAAACCCCCTACCAATTAAGAGAAAAAACCCGACATTTCGTTATTAACAAAATAGTTAATAGGCACATAGATTCTTGAAGGATTTGCTTTGGCAAGGTACTTAAACATATGTCTCATGTAAGAAATACCTCAATGAACCTCTGAATCTTAAGTTAAGCATGTATTCTAGTCACTTACTGAGCCTGAGTCAAGGGAATTATGGGGGAAAAAAGCCCATCAGAAACAGGTTGACAACTTACTAAGTAGACATCCAAAACTGAAGCATTATCATTTTCCATTTCCAGCGTGCTTTGTTCTGAAGTCAAATAGATGGCACTGTCTTCTAAAGTGAATGTTGAACTTGAAGGCAACCCTTTACTGCAAAGAGAAGGGAGACTACAGTCAATCAAAAATACAAGTTAGAGAGCTCAGTCATAGCTGAAAAATTTAAAATATGTTTCTCTCTCAAATGTAAAAGCTTCAAATACTTTAAAAGAGGGAATGTAAATGGACAAATACTGATATGTTGACATGGCTAGATAATTGGCAGCTCATAGTTGACTAATGTACACAAACCACAGTTTCTATTTTTGCATTAACTAAAATTTTATCAGATAGTAATACTGTTCCCCCAACTCTAATATTTATTTAAACAATAAAACTATGTCACAGTAAATGTGGGATAATTTCATTAATTTCAAAAGAAGTTACTCCCACATTACACACAGTGTAAATTTTGACAGCATTTTTTATTCAAAATAGGGGAAAGATTCAGTAATTAGGCACCGTAACATTGGATTTTCTCATGCAGATAGGGGATCACTTGCAGCCAACAGTTCAGAAGAAAAAGTGAGAGGAACAAGAATGCACTGTAGCTAGCATAGCTCTGCACAGAAGTAATATTTTACAGAGCAGGTGCACTGTATTATTTCATTCACAGACACAATTTTTTGTTCTCTGCTATCCAGAAAGAATATGAAACTGCAAATGCACCTGAACAGGAATCTTGTTTTGTTTTGTAAATGTACTTGGAACCGCAAAGCTGAAACTCTCAAAGGTGTTTTAATGGAGTTAGGTGCCCATTATTCCCTGCCCTCACCAGCTGCCAGAAACCAAGACTTCAGGCTGCCTTGAAAACTCAACTGTCAGTTTTGCAGAGACATATTTTTAAAGTTCTTATCTATTTACAAACAGGGTGAAAAGTGAACAATTCTGCATTATAACTGGGTATGAAAGCATGGTTAGAGCCATCAGTCCAGAAATTATTAATCTCCCTCTCCCTTTGCAGTACTTTGTAGTTTAAGTATGTTTCAGATGAGGTATAATTTCAGAAAGGGCAAAGCTAGCATGCAAAGTAGAAAACAAATTCAAATGTTCAACAAAAGAATGACTCATCAGTGAGCCTCATGTTGTATTAGTACTAAGTGCACAGCATTATATTCGCCACATTACAATGTTCCTTTTTTTTTTTAATATCTCATATTAAGCATCTTTTCAATAGCAAGACTATTTCTTTTGTCCCAAGGGTGACCCAGCTCCCACTGACTCAGTAGCATTTCTCTCACACCCATTCCTTGTATTCTATTGAGCAACGTTTTCAGTCACATCAGTTTTCTGCCAAGGCTTCATTTTACTGAAAGGAAGAGGTCACACAGGGAAAAAAATAGGCTGTTGCCAAATATTAGACTGTGTTTTATCATCTCCAACAAAATAAGCTCTGGTACGAAAGATATTACTTCTTGGTAAAAGGGGAGATGGGGTGAGAAAGTCACTTTTGCTCGCAGAATTTTGATCTCTGTTGTTGCACAGTTCAGGCCTCTGAATGTACAAGGCCCTGTATATGAAAACCACATAACATAAGATAAATGTGCAGCGAGCAGCTACTACTGCTCAGTGGCCAACCCTACCTTCTAGAAAACAGTGCTCTCTGCATTACTAACTGTAAAGCAAGTCAGGCAGGCTGTGATGTATACCTGGTTTTCATTCCTACATCAGGTTAGGCTTAAAAGCAAAAAGTTATTCCTTTCATATACACAACAGGCCACATCACTGCCACCTTTACTGCTGTTATTTTTAACTTCTTTCGCTTCCAGAAAAACTCTTGAACCTGTACTCAAGATGAGGTGAGGATTCTGCAGTTCACACCAGTGGCATTTTATTTTTATATCCTTCATGAATCAGAAGACTAAGACCTAGTCTTCCTATTATTCCAGTTTAATTCACTGGCTTACTGTAACACTTAACTTTTCTTCCTCTCTTCTCTACTTTCCATTAGAAGGCACTGTGCTTCTTTTGCTCTTAGTTTGTTAAATTATAATCTATGTTGCTTCACAGCCTGCTGTGAATAGCAAACAATAGCCATGTGAGTTCAGCACTTGGTCTTGGGATTGTTAAACCACTGGCTTTACCTACAACATAAAGACAACGCCACCTCCCCTTTGGAGTGTGCCTTTTTTTCCTTCCTGCCTGTTACACGAACACACTAGACAGTCAGGCAGAGAATGAGGGTTGAAACAAAAACAAGATCTTAAGAGAAGCCAAAGATACCGTCCTATGAATGTCACAATTTGGTTATTTAGTAGTGAACTGCCTAAAAAGAGATTTAATATATAGAAATAATATGATCTATATTAACAGACAGATAGAAAAGGGAGAAAAGGGGCAGAAGAAGGCACAAAGAGATACTAATCTTGCATACAGAAAACGAGCAGCGACTGAAGTCCTTCGAACAAAATCAGGCATGAAAGTAGAAAACGAAGCAGCACAAATGACAGTCTACCATTTTTCTTACAATGAAAAGATCCTCAACTTATTTGCAGATAGCAATCTCCTTGCTGCTGTGACTTTCACACTGAATAATTAGAGATAAACTCTGCAAATAAGGAAGACTCATCTCCTGCATGAAGAATTGTTTATCAAAAGGAGAAGTGTAGGAAAACTGTTGCAAAACAGAGCTTCCTTTCATACACCGTAAGTTCAGTAACTGGACATTTTTCTCTATTTAAAAGAAGACAAACTGTCCACTTTGGGAAGCTAATCTGTAATGTGTATAAAGGAGAACGTGGAAATTCCAAGTTACTGCCATGTTAAATCTGGAGCCCATGCTGGTGTCAGTATGAAAGCAACTGCTTTTGCCAGGAGCTGAATTCTGCTGCAACTGCAGTAGAGGGCTTATGGGTAATAATGTAATAACACCTTCTTAGTTACAGCTGCTTAGTTAGAAATAATTTTTCATGGCAGAATACGACAATCATTTTCTTTGTTGTACTTCCCTTGCAATGACAGCATGAAGAACACGCATCCCAACTGGCTAAGTGACTATGAACTACATGAAAATACGCATAAGAACAAGATTTCTATTTTTCCTATGAAAAGGGGGGAAAGCAAGAAGCTTTTTTTTTTTTTTTTTTTAAAGATCTCATCCTTAGTGTTAATGTGAATCCTATTTTAAAAAGCACTAAATATTTTCTCCTTATGCTGAAGTGAGAAGAAAAGACAAACTTAATAAAAAACCAGACTCAAGTTCTCTTCCTCTTGAGTAGAAAATAAAACAAAACCTTAATTTTCTGAAGTCCTTCTAAAATGCTCTCTTGGACACGAGATGCCAAAAAATCCTCACTCAAATTAGCTCAAAAAGTTAAAGATAGTTAGGGATTGCTGCTTGCATATGTGAAAAATGGGGTGTTGGGCACAAGATCTTCAGTAGAGCCAATTAAATTAGACTGATTTTCTGCAGATTTGTAGAATAGTGTAACTTTTACATGTTTTAATATAAGGATTATATATATAAGATCCTATTAAGTTTCTAAGGAATAAAGGAAAAAAAAAATTACACTTTGTGAAGGAAATAGTATAGCCAGGCAGGATCATCTAAAATAATAATAATAAATAAAACAGTAATAATAATTTTTAGAAAAGAGACTGGTGTCCTTCAAACCTTCCCAAATTTTAATTATTATTTCTGTCTTTCATATTTTATTTATACTAAACTGAAGTGACAGTTTTAGAAATGAGACTTCTGTTTTCTTCATGGAAAACCAAATATGCCTCATCATAACGTGTCTACTTACAAGGTAGCCTGCAGGACAGGTAGAACTCTTCAGTCTCCTTTTCAAGTCACTGCATAGTCTTTGAAGAATGGCAGAAACCATGCCAGGTAGTAACAACTGACCACAGCAGAAGATTAAGCTGCATTTTGGGTTTGGTTGGGGATTGTTTGGGTTTTTCCCTCCTGCCATGTGAAGAACAGCTTTTATAGGAATATACTTATCAGCTTCTTTCAGATAGTGCCAAAATACAACAGCCATAAATTAGAATAAGCCACTGTGTCTCCCCCATTGTGAAGAGTTGTAATAAAAATAGGCTTTGATGTCTGTCTTTGGATGTCAAATATGCTTGCAGCATATCCCACAGAACATTTATCCCCTAAATAGCAGTGCATTCGCAATGTCCAATGTGTTTGAAAACTCTTATATAAGCTTTTAAAAAGAATTATCAGCTCATTGCATCATTAGTTTTGATGCTTTAAAATCTCTGCATATAGAAGTTAGTCAGAAAAACATCTTGTGGGATAAATGAGCAGTAAAACTATTGCACTAAGGTACAACTTAGTACCAACTGTTGCAGAAAATCTGTCCTGCATACATATAAATGTGAACAAGGACAACAGGTATTTATGGACCTGTTGAACTAAATGCATTAATTAGTCTAGTGTTTACAATGTAGAAATACTGTATCACCTCTAAAACCCAACCTTACATTTCATTTTTTTAAATTACATATGTGTCTGGGGAACAAAAAAAAGTAGGTCAAGCATACTAAAACTCCCATGTAATATTTCACTAATGCTGTTGACAAATATCAAAACCACAGACCTGAGAAAACAATATATATGACTGATCTTCTAAATGATCCCTCAAGTGGAAGAGTCTGACAGCGAGTCCATGCTACTACACTGATGGTAATGGCAAACCATGACATGCAAATCAGTAAATATCACAGTAAGCACAAAGATTTCACAACGCTCAGCAAACATATACACCTTTGCAGGTGCCAGTAAGAATCATGAGGCCTGTCATTTTTGTACCTGACATACATATGTAGTTGAAAAGAGATTGTGTAAGCAATCAGAATTTAGGAACTCTGTCCAGATTACAAAATGCTGAGTAATAACAGCCAAATCCACTGAGAGGTACACATCAACATGTAACTGCCCTTGGAGGGACTGACACATGAAGTCTGTTCTGAGAAGCTCCTCTGGATCCTCCTCACCAGAAAAAAGGTAGTGAAATTAGACTTGCAAGGATGAGTATGCAGTACGAAAAGCAGCGTGCAGAGGGACAAATTAAGTCAAGGAAACACTTGCTTATGTATTAAAT